TTTAATTTTGGATACAATCGTTTGTGGTTAACGTTATAGGAAAATGTGCTTGGATGGAATGTGTGACTTAATTCTTGGTATTGAATGGTGATACTCATAAATAATATGATCAAGCTCACAAGGAATAGGAAACTCGATAGTAAACGTCGATTACCAAGGATATAGTTAGGATCGCATAGTAAATAAGATATTAATTTATTATTACTATTCAACGCAGATATGCCATACTTTAATAACACGAGAAATGTGATGATCCGGGTAAATGTCACCAAAATGACACGTCTGGTCCGGGTTACGCGATTCACGTATTCATCAAACGTATGAATAGTTGTGAATGTTTTGGTACTAAATGTTTGAAACCTATTCACAGCTATTGACGGATCGGTGTTTGCATTTAAAAAGTCATTGTATTTATGTTTGACAAACAATTTTAAATTAATAATTTTTTGAGTATAATTATTGAACATATTTAATATCACCATTTTGGGCATACTCATTTTTGTATATTGAATATTTATCGCCAATTATTATATACACAGTAATATGTTTAAAAATTATATTCTCAATGAATTAATTTTATAAAGTTCATATTTTAATCTAGGTCATTTGGCTTTACAATAATAGCAAATATACTATTAGTGCTGTTTTTCACAATAATTTTTTTTGTATTTTGATCGTATTATCGATTTTATCGAATAATGTTTTTATAATATATTAATATGAGATTATTATATTATTGAAAAGCATAATACCACTGTATAATTGTGATGTAATTAAGCAATCAATTGTGTTGCCATGCAATACAGATAGTCACATAAAAATATTTTTAATATTTTAATATACTGTCACACATATAAACCTACAAAGTATATTTTAAAATAAAACAAAAATAATTAATAAAATTTCTAAAAATAGTTAACATATTTTTCATAATTAAAATATTGTTTATTCCTTAAAATTTATTATTGTGTTTGAGCTATAGTTTTATAACAATTTTTATATATTTTGTGTAACAGTTATGAAAAAATCAAGGATTTAGTCAAAAATATTGATTTTTAATATTATTACAAATTATTAAAACTATTAATATTTAAATATTTAAATCGGCAACAGATGTGTTGAATGAATTCACAGACAGTTTCACACATAATATACGAATCAGTGATGACATGATTTCCACATTTCAAACACACATCCAATCCATGTATTCACACGAATATGACCACAATTTCTTTATTGAATACCTTTTGGTGAAAATAAATACAAATAAATCAGAGATGAGTTTAAGTCCAACGGCGCCGACAGTCAATGCCGAGTCGACCCCTGAAAGTGTAGTCAAAAGCATGCAAACGAAGCAATCAATTGACGACATGATTGGAGAGGGAGTGAAGGAAGTGATGAAAACCGGTGACAAAAGTAGCGCAACATTAATACAACAACAAAGGCATCGCCGAAGAAATATACGGATTGTTTGGACAGTCAGTCGACAAGTGGTGCGACCGCTGTGGCAATGGTTTCTATGGCAATGTGGCTGAAAGGATATATAATTTTGATTTTGTTAATTCATTTATTCATTATTTCTTACAATATGTACTCAAACTAAATATGCAATACTTGTTATCAGAAATAAATTATATAATAAACATATTAACTATTTTAATATTACATTGAATTATAAGTAGGCATTTATTTGAATATTAATTATATTGTAAGAGTGGCGAAGTCATAGACGAGTCCGCCGTCGATCACCAGATTAGCGCCGGTTATGAACGCCGCGTCACTCGAGGCCAGGAATGCCACCCCTTTGGCGATATCCAGTGGTTGTCCCAATCGCTTGAGTGGTGTCACACCCTTTGCCTTCTCGTAAAATGGGGTCAACTTGTCAGTCACTTGTATAGTACCCGGACTATTATAAACATTTGAAATTAGCATAGATCTTTATTACAAAATTACTACCTGGTGCGATAAATAAAAACATATGTTTGAATTCCGCTTTACCATGACTTAACCGTAATGCGTGGCAATTGTAGTCATAGTAAAGTGGAGTTCAATTGTTTTTATTGCACCAGGTTAATCAAAAAATTAAATACTTTATTGTGTTGACACGAATGCCTATCGGCGCCAATTCCAGCGCCAGTATGCGAGTCAAGTGATCCAATGCCGCTTTGGAAGTACTATAGGCTAATTCCTGTGCCCACTACAATATTTAGCAATATAATAAATTTCCACAACAAAATTATTAACTGAAAATAAAAATCTGTTCCTAATATAAACAACACCGGTGTTTCAACTCTGCTTTCACACGATTTGCTAAAACTATATAGTAATGGACAATCATATGAAAGTATAGTCGAAACACTGGTGTTGATAATATTTAGGGGCGATCCACAAAGTACATCTCACGCCTAGGGGGGAGGGTGTGATGCCAAAGCGTATGCCCCACGTTAAACTCCTATGTCCGATGAGCGTGTAGGGGGGAGGGGGTAAATTTTTGACCAAAATTTTGCGTACGTACTTTATGAATGACGCCTTATAAGATATAACTTTAGTTAGCTCTGTATTACCGGATCGATAGCCACGATACTCGAGATGTCAACGATTGTACCGTTAGTTTTGGCCAAATGTGGAACTGATTCGTGGATCAGTTCGACGACTGCCCTCACATTGATGCTCATGACCTGATCCCACACTTGCAATACGTCTGTTTGCGTGATGTTAGTGGTCGGGTATATACCGGCGTTGTTCACCAGTACGTCGAGTTTGCCAAATGTTTTGGTCGTATTGGCGATCAATTGTTGGATGACTTCCGATTTGGTTAGATCTCCCACCACTTCTAGTGGCTATTAAATAGAAATCATTTTAATTTCACCTTGTATACATTATACTTTTATAAGTATACGACAAATAACTAAAATAAGTGTTTTAATTCTGCTTTAATGGGATTATTATACTGCCAATCATACACATACAATCATTTTAAAGCAAAGTTGAAACACTTATTTTGAATATATCTATGAAAACCCCAAAGCAAATTATACACTGCATTTAAAAACAAAATTACTTGTGCTTTGAATTTATCCTGGTTCATTTATACTGTACTATATATACCTTTAATTTCGTTGGCGACAAATCCTGCACCTCTTTGGCAACCCTCTGGACTTCGTCGGCTTTCCTACCGGTGATCACAACATTGGCCCCCAATATGGAGAACAGTTTGACGATCCCCTCCCCGATCCCGGAGCTACTTCCGGTCACCAAAACTACTTTTCCCGTAAAGTTTCGCGATTTCTCCACATTTTTATAGTCAATGATATCATAATCGGCGCAAACGGTCGACACCAAAGCCAATGTTAATAATAATTTCATAATTTATTGTTATTTGCGATATAACTATACTTTTGAAAGTATTATTATTAGTGAATTGAACATATTTATTGCAGGTCCTTTTATAGTATGAAGAAATAAGCGCATAAAACTCAATCATTGTATGTTTGTGCCAAATGATCAAGTATGCTTTTTGCCTTTTATCAGTCTAATCCCAAAGCACTTAATTATCAAGGTTTGAGTACTTTTGTAACAATATAATTATCTAGTTTTTCTAATATTGTACTTTCTCATTGTTTACTATTTATTGGTACGAATGAAGTGCAAACTTACATCAACAAGGTCGGTTAGTATTTAACTCAAAACCCTGTTCTAAGTTCATTTTTAGTTCATATTAAGTGAATGTCTAGTTCATATTATATATATTGATATTTAAAATATAATATTAATGTCAGGGTAAGTGTGTATGAAAATATGCGATCAGGCACAACGAATAGATTATAAAATCCGCTCTCATATGACACCGAAGGTTAAAAAGGTTTATTACCGTACAATCGTATAAGTACTAAGGTTAGTATATTGTATTATATATTATACGAATATAATGTTAATTATTTATAAAACAATCTTAATAATCTAAAAAGCGTTACCATGCCCATATTTTATATTGTAACAATATAATTATCTAGTTTTTCTAATATTGTACTTTCTCATTGTTTACTATTTATTGGTACGAATGAAGTGCAAACTTACATCAACAAGGTCGGTTAGTATTTAACTCAAAACCCTGTTCTCAGTTCATTTTTAGTTCATATTAAGTGAATGTCTAGTTCATATTATATATATTGATATTTAAAATATAATATTAATGTCAGGGTAAGTGTGTATGAAAATATGCGATCAAACACAACGAATAGATTATAAAATCCGCTCTCATATGACACCGAAGGTTAAAATGTGATTAACAAGGTAATTATATAGAATAGAGTTATATTATATATTATTAGTAATAATTTATTACCGTACAATCGTATAAGTACTAAGGTTAGTATATTGTATTATATATTATACGAATATAATGTTAATTATTTATAAAACAATCTTAATAATCTAAAAAGCGTTACCATGCCCATATTTTATTGAATTAATTCTGAAATGTGATGTGAATTACAATAATATAATAAAATAATTTGAGCATCATGTCATGTAAATTGTGTTTAAATTGTAAACTATTTATAAATACCACGAGTTATGAAAGTCAAATAAATGCAAAATTTTTACAAATACTTTCTCGTGCTATTATGAGTACAGGAGACAACATTATAAATAATTATTTTGTTGTCCTCCTACTGTCCTCCTGGCTCTCAATTTTGACAATTAGTTCTCCCGGGGCTCTGGAATTAGGTGGCAGTTCTAATTATGTCCTAGGTATTATGTGATATCAAAAGAATTATCTAACAGATAAGCTATTAGCCTATTCAAAATAACTATGAAAACACTCTCACACACTTTAATCCATTTCCAGTGAAACACTTCAGATTGCACTACAATTACGTCATTCAAAGTCAAAGTTTTCAAACATATTTCTCTATAAATAATCGTTTGTCTCAATACTTTCAATCAGTTCTTTCCATTCAATAAAACAGTGTTTTGTGTGAAAAAATAAACCTAAAAATATGCTTAAAATTGTGATCCTGGTGTCGATGCTGATGGGAGTGACCCTCGCGGCTGCGGTCGACCCCTGTATTATCAATGAGGGCGAGGTCTGGGCTAAAACTATGGTCCAGCAGATGACCGAGCGGTCAATAAGGAGGAGAAGGCCAGGGGTCGGGTCATGACCTATATTCAGATCATCAACACCATGGGTGATATGGACCATTGTCTCGCATACTTGCAGTTTTATAACCAGGATCATGTATGCTTTAGTTATTTGTTAAGTGTTTTTAAAATTATTAACCATGTTTAATTTATTTAAAAGGTTAAATGGTCGTGCAAAATCCAAACCACCGATGATGGCACCCACGCCCACAAATATACCATGGGCGAGATCAAATGCCACAAGTCCGATTAAGTCGATGAACTCATCAATTAAGTTTTAGTTGTAACCAGAATATAATTGTTGCATAATGTTACTTTGGAAATAGCAAACAGTTTTATATACTTTTTGTTAAAAATTAATTTGCATTTAATATTTTTAATTAACTGCAAAAATAGTTTTGTTTATAAATGATCCCAGTTTGTTTATAATTTCTATTGTATGGCAATGAATCGTAAATGAAATCTAATTAAATGTAAAAATATTGTATATTATATTAATTTATAGATGTCTCGTGTGTTTGTTGTGACCCATAATCAGTGTTATAATTACAATAAAACCTATCATTGAATCGTGCCTTCAGTGGCCTTTCCTCTGACAACGAGTTGTCGGACATTATCTCCGGTCTCCTCATTGTGTTTGTGGCGCGCATTGCCGTCACATAAGGGGAACTCCCGTCCCATCGATCATGTCTTACATGTCGATAGCGTCCACCACTTTGTCCGCCTTCTTCTTCACGCACTCATTGATAATCTCTGGACACGGGATGTGTTGACTTTCTTTCAGGACTGAGTCGTTCATCAATATTAGTCGTCCGGAAGCTGTTGTGACAAACATGGTATGAATGGACAGGCATTACGCGAGTGATTGATGGCATACCCGATGTCCTTCCCGTTCGGACTCAACACTAGTTCTCTATTAAGTTTTGCCATATTATCACCGGTTTTGTTGAACTCATTGCTGCAGTCGTGAAGTATCTCCCGATGTCTCTGCAGAGTATAGGTATATACGGTTGGCCTGGGATTCTGTAGGCGTTCCCAGTATTCACTTATTTGGTGGTTGACGTCAGTTAGGGTCCGCAGAAGGCCATCGATCTCACCGTTGAGGCGCCCGAAGACGTCCCTCTCGTCACCTCCGGTCATGTCTTTGGCGACGACTTTACTGAAAGTCAAGAGTTTTGAGTCCAACTCTTTCTCGTAATGTCTGGCCTCTCGTGTAAACTCTTAATACAAAGAGTGGTTAATATGACAGACAATGGCATTCAGTGATCATACATACCCTTCCACTGCTGAGTGGACTGTCTGGCCTCAGATGTGTTGCCAATCATTGTGTTCACCGTTTGCTCGTAAATATTACTTCAATAATCATATATTGATATAATTTATATTTCTCAAAAACTACCATTTCAGTGATTTATTGTAAAAATTATTTTTACTGAACATTAAATATACTTGTATTTCATCTAGTACAATTTAATTTAAATATCACCAGGAATGATATGATAATAAAATGGACCAACCTAGTCTAATCTAGTCTAGCCTAACTAAACAAAGTCAATAAATATTACTTTTTAACATTTGCTTTTCACTGATAGCCATACATGACTATTGCATATAACTTATTATGACATTATTATAGCTATAAACTATTGCTTGGTAATTATCATGGTTTTGTTTGTCGCAATCTGGTTAAGGTTGTATTTAATATGAAATTGAATTTTATAAACTGTAATATTGTTATAATTATATTATTATGTACTAAATGTTTACTTCATTTTTAAGAAAAGTTAATTTAGTTTTTATATTTGTGCGAAAGTAATGTATTAATAAATTGTAATTTTTTAAATTTAAAATTAACGAATTAACGAATTAATATTAGTAAATAATAACATTTATTATTTTAATTGTTTGTGAGTTATAAATAATATCGAAAATAATAAATTAAAATAAATCTTTAATTTCCTTTTGTATGTATATTTATTAAAAGTGAATTATGTTCAATATTTTAGTAAAGTACTAACGGAAACTATTATAATGTTAAAATATATAATAAATTTACAAATATTTTAATGTTCAAGTTAAATAATTGTTCAATTAGCCATGTCATCTGTTTTAAATAATTACGAAGTGTTTGATGAAATAGCAGACGATATAAAACAATGCATTCAATTATTTTATGTTTTCGAAGACTTCGACAAATATAACACACTGTTTGTGACATTTGATGATATAGTGTATGCATTTGGCTCTAATTTCAGGGGTCAGCTCGGGTTAGGACACAACACACCCATTGAGACACCGGTAGAAGTGCCACAATTATGCCATCAAAATATACAACAATTTTACAATGGATTTGATTTTGTATTGGCTGTCAATACGGATCAACAGGTATTCAGTTTTGGTAACAATAAATTTGGACAATTAGGACGGGATGTGAATATGGATATAAATATATACCATAAACCAAATGTTATTTCATATTTCGTATCAAACGGTTTAGTTATCGACCAAATAAGTTGTGTTTCATGGCATATTATTGTGTTGACAACCAGTGGACAGATATACGTGTGGGGGAATAATAATTGTGGCCAAGTAGTATATGGGGATAGGCGTTTATTTATTACAAATCCCACAGAATTCACACATTCCGTAAAATACAGATTTAATAAAATTATGTGCGAATTTGGCCTATCAATGGCCATAACATCGGATGGACAGGTATTGTTGTGGGGAGGGGATGGGGATCGCCAAGTAGGTGCAACACAAATATTGGATATGGCAATCAATATACAAACCTGTTGTATAAGGGATGAAAATTTGTATTTATTATCAAACGATGGATTACTATATTTTTACAATCTTTTAAAAAAAACATTGCAAATAATAACTCATATAATATTTAAAGAAATAAAACAATTAATATCATTTAAAACAGATGATACTAGTGTATTAATAACCGGCATATCTGGTGGTAAAATATATGAAATTAACGGTGAAGATATAGTTGAAACTAGTTATACAACATTTAATGATTATTATTCGAGTGAATTGCAAATAACTTTAAATACTATTTCAACAGAAAATCAACAAAATATTGAATATGTATTAAATGAAAACACCGATAAGGATGGCAAGTATTTAATCATGTACCTATCAGATAATTAGATTAATATACTATTTTTATTTATTGATTATTAATATAGAAGCAAACTGTATATTTGATAAAACTTTAATGTGATAAATAAGCTTGGTGAAGGTGGTTATGGGACAGTATATGAAGTTGTGTCGAAATGTAACAATATGAGCTATGCTATAAAGAAATGTCTATTAAAAGGTATCATATGATTCATATACACAAAACTAATAATTAAATATAATTAAAATTAACTAATTTTTATTATAGGTTTAAGTGATAGAGACAAACGAAATGTTTTGAATGAAACGCAAAGTCTTGTGAAACTTCGGTCAGAGTTTGTGATTCAATACTACTATTCATGGATTGAATGCAATTGTCTTTACATTCAAATGGAGTTATGTATCGATAGTTTGACAAATGTTTTGAAAATTATGAAAATAGTTAATTATACTAGTAAACAGTTAATAAATATCGAGTTTTATATATCGTATCATATGTTTCATAAACTGATAGAATGTGTGCAATATTTGCACGAAAAACATATCATTCATAGAGACCTCAAACCGGATAATGTGTTAATTTCATCGGATGGACGCATAAAGTTATGTGACTTTGGTTTAGCTAAAGAGGTGGTGAATTGTGATCCATTTAATGTATCCAAAGTTAAACATACGGCAGAAGTCGGGGATCTGTCATATCAAGCACCGGAAGCTCAGACCAATGAATACAATCATTTGATAGATATCTACAGTCTGTCACTAATTGGGGCTCAAATATTTGGTTTTGATACAAACGATATAATGGACGGAAAGTATGTTTATTTCTAACAAATATCATATTTCTAATTTCTTTATTTCAAAATATTTTTTTAGGATTAATTTAATTGGAAAATGCAATAAAGATTTCAAAAGTATAATCATTTATTTGAATGCATTATTGGTGTCGATGAGTGTCAATAAGTATCGTAAAAATGGTTCAACAGATTGGAGGCAAAGACCCGAATGTTCGCACATTTTATCACAATTTAAACAAATAGTGATTAAACCTCTAATGGATGAAAATTTTTGGATTTTTTTGGATACTATTTTAGAACAAGGTCATGATTTTAGTACAATCTATGAATTATTTTTGCGCTGTGATCAAATTATCCGAATACCCAAGGAACATTTAATTATTAATTTAATTTTAATGAAACGTTAGATATTATTATTTAATTTTATTAAAATATTTTAACATTGCATTATATTTTAGAAAACAAATTTAATGTATCGCAGTTTGAAATTGGTGAATATAAAAAGCTGGATTATTTTATTTCAATTCGCAAAGTGGTGGATAAAATTTTGATGAAAATGTATTCAACATTGAAAATAATTATATATGGTAAGAAAATATGTAAACTATTTAGAATTTAAATATATGTTACATAAATCGTAATTATATGAGGAATATTAAATTCAACCAGGCATATGGTATAATACAGTATTTCTATATAATACCTTCGACTACTAAAATATAATTTATAGCACAATTATTTTATTTTATAGATTAGTTACAATTAAAAGGTTAATATTTATTTATTAAAAAGTTATGTAAAGTAATTATAATATTCGTATAATATTCTTATGTACGAAAGTATTATACGTTATGTTTGTTTGGATTTAATATCACAATATAGATGAGGATGCATTGAATGAACTTTTAGACTTAATTCAAATGTTATTTGACTTGAAATCACCATATTTGATTCAATATTACGGTTCGTGGATTGAGGATTATCATGTTCATATACAAATGGAATGTTGCGAACACACTTTGGATGATATTATTGAAGCAAAAGATAAATTATTCAGCAACCACAATTCAATGGCTATGATTTGCATTGATTTTTACATATCGTATGAATTAATGCGAGACCTGTTAGAATGTATTCAGTATTCACGCGAATCGCGATATCTTAAAGACATTGATTGGATGCTCCGAGAAAATTATGTCCTCTTAACGAATAACATTAAAAACACCAGGGGTATTAAATTGTCAATATTGAATTGGTTCCAACATAAAGTTTATGAGTATAATCGTAATCAATTTCTAACTATTGGGGAAATAGCAGATAATCTATTTAAATCGGTTTTTGCCAAGTATGTTTTATAATTAAAATGTAATACATATTAATAAAAATATTGTTTTTTAGAGACCTTTCAGTTGATTTGGGGTTAAATATGGAAAAAATTGATGACTTCATAAAAGACATGAAAAATGAAA